TAACAAAATTTAATGCATTAAACATAATATTTTTTGTTCTTCAAAAATAATTTTAAATTAATTTGTACAAAATTAAAGGTGTGAAAAATATAGTTTTGGCTACCGAATCAATTTTTAATGTTCCTCGCTCGATGAGAAATATGTCTCAAGATATTTGTTGAAAAGCTGAAATGTCAACAAATATTTCGAAATAAATATTTTATTAATGTAAATAAATAAATTGCGTTGTAAAAATTCATTTTTTCATATATGAAATGACGAGTCATTTTAAAAATATGACAAAAATGTACAATTAATGTTTTGCGCACAGCACTTTCACTTTCACTTACGAGCGAGTATCCTTCAAACCGACGAGTAGTAGAAATTTGTTGTTTAAATAAATTAATATATAAAAAAATATATATATAATTATTTTTAATAACCGGATTCTGCTTAAAGTATTTCACAAATACTTCTGACTTATTATTGTTGCTTGAGTAATATTTAGCATTTATTTATGAAAATTATTATATTATATAAAATATTTATTGTCCCAATATTACTAATGTGTCATAAGATATTTCATATTTTATTTTTCAAAAAATAGCAAAAAAAAAAAATGGAAAATTTCATTAACAAAAACAATAATAAAAGAAGGAATTTTCTTCTGGTACTCGGTGTGGTCTAGTGAAAGTGACGAGCGATGATTAAGTTTGGCGATTTGCCAGAAGAAATTCGTGATTATTTTGTGAAATGTTGACAGTATTATTTTTTACTTAATGATAATGATTATAAATTAATACTCTAAGTGTTATTTACTATAGGAATAGAATATATTAATAAGACATCGAAAGTATAAATAAATTGTCAATGAATTGGCAGTGATAATTAATAATGCAATAGAATAATTTTACGTTTTATTCCGGTATATAATTTATCAAAATCTTATTTAATTTTTTTTTATTTTAGTTTTATTTAATTTTATATAATTAAATTAAATTAATTTAATTTGATGTAATTTCATTTAATATAATATAATTAATTTAATTTAATATAATTTCATTTGATTTTATATAATTTAATTTAACTAAATTTAACTTAATTCGATATAATTAAATTCGATTCAATTTAACTTAATTTAATTTAATTTAATTTAATTTAATTTAATTTAATTTAATTTAATTTAATTAATTTCTGATAATTTTAATTTATACATTTACTTCACTTCGATGTAATTCGCTTTAATTTAATTTAATTGATTTAACTTAATTTTAATTAACTCAATTAATTTAGTTTGATTTATTTATTTCATTTATCTTCAATTTAATTCGTTAATTAAATTTATTAATCTATTTGATTTTATAATTTAATTGACTTACTTATTCATTTTATTATTTGATTTATTTAATATTTAATTTTAATTTAATTTTTTTAATTCGTTTAATTTAATTTAATATTAATCTATTTGATTTATTTAATTTAATTTGGCTTACTTATTCAATTATTTTATTTGATTTAATTTCTTTAATTCAATTTAATTTAAATTAAAATAATTTTATTAGATTTTTTATAATTTAATTTAATTCAACTTAATTCAATTAATTTTAATTTAATTTAATTTAGTTTAATATAATATATTAAATTTGATTTAATTTAATTTTATTTAATATTATTTTATTTGGCTTAATAAAATTTAATTTAACTTAATTCAATTTATTTTAATTTAATTTAATTTGTCTTAATTTAATTTATATTAATTTTATTTAATTTAATTTACCTGAATTTAACTTTATTTTATTTAATTTAATTATCACTAAAATATTTAATATAAATTCTATTAATTTAGTATAAATAATTAAATTAATAAAAATCACTAAAATTTTAACGCATATCACTAATTAAAATATTTTTGTTTTCTAAATTTTAATTGTAAATTTTATATAAAATTAACAATTAGTAAAACCACTCATTAGAGATTTTTGAATTAATTTAAATGTAAGCAAAAACAGAAAATCTCATTAATTAAATTTTATTTTGTTGCGGCCAAAATATTTATTTAACATATAAATATTTTTATTTCTAAAAATAGGTTTATGGGTTCAATTGCTTGAAAAGCTGTCGAAATTATATAAAATTTAGTATATTTTAAAATTCTGTGTATTTATAAAAATAAAGTGAAAGGATTTCGGAACGCCTACTTTTTCATTTTGAAAAATATTATCTTATATGATTCTTTAGTAGCATTGATATCATATCACAAGTATAGTCAAATGAATTTCAATCTATACCTTAAACTATATTCATTTTACCCTATTGATTATTTATTTTGTATAATTTCATCTTCTATGATCTTTTAGTAGTAGTTATTTAAAAATAATTAGACTATTTAAATGAACATCTAGAATTCGTATATCCGTATATTCTAATAGATATGTATTCAGGTCAGTCAGATGATATTACTAATTACTTATGGTGTTCTAATACAAATTTTTTATTGTTAGAATCTGTATTAAAAGTGTAGTCAGACTGTCTACGATACTCTAAACATAAACATATAAGGGAATATCGTATCTTACTTAGGATATTATACATCTGATCAAAAATTGCATTAGTATCGGCTCGGTTTTTAATATCTACTTTACGTTTAGATTATGTCTGATCAGAATCGGATTTTCAATACGATTGATGAGCAAATGGTTATAGAAAGGTAAAGATATAGTATATAAAATATTGCAGAATTGAAGTAAGCACTGAAATCAGATATGTTGATATATAAAACAAATTCAAAATGCAAACAAGTAATATAAGAAATTATCATTGTTAAGACTATTCCTTCAGGTACTCTTAATTATGCGTTTTTTTCATTAAGTGGAAAACAACATTCCCAATGATTTTCTAATTATGCTACTGATATCATTAACTTCAAAGATAATCCTTATGTTTTGGTTCCAATTAAGGAAGTGGGACCATAAGCACCTCGATATGTTAATTAAAGTTTTCAGCAAAAGTTAAAAAAAAATAAAAAAATATAAGATGATTAATAATATAGCTTAATATACATAGCCAAAGGTTTAGGAATCATGTATCAATAGGCTTTCAAAAACTAGTAATTAAAACAGTCTCTATTATTTTTTTAATCATTTTAATTTTTCATAACCTTTTCCGTTTACTTCATCATAAATAGTAGTTCAGATGAACTAATTTCAGACGCATATTACGCAGTGCTTGGACTTCGTTTAGAGATGTATCCATATATATTTATATATTTGGTATGGAGTCACACCATATATATTTATAGGAGATTATTGGCGGTTTTCCTTTTCAGTCTACGAAATTGTTCGAAGTTGACAGTAGATCTATGATGAGACGATTTGAATAACTATGTAAGCTATAACTTTACTATTCATATATTTGGGGCTGCATCTATTTTTTTGATTGAGAGTCTAGCATGATTGATTATAAGTAAAAGAATATCGGAGGTAACTGTGGTTATGTATAGTGTTTTCGACTGGAATCGTTGGAATGTTGCTTTATTAGAACCTGACAAAGCCTCCATTAATATTACCTTTTACCTCGATTTAAGCGTACTATTAAGAAGAGGCCCATGGAATTAAGGTCATAGAATTAAAGAGGTTACAATATTTTAAGTTTAATTGATATCTTTATGAAATATGTTAGAATAGTTCCTCAATTAATATTTTATCCTCTAACAAATATTGACTATATATATGTATAATCTTTTATGTAGCACATAAGACTAAATAATATCGACATTTTTAAATTCGTGGCACATTTAATTATTGTTATTATTATCCGTATTTAAAATTATTTTAAAATAATATTTAAGTGCTTTAAAAAAATTAATATAAGGGAAAAAATTATTTTTGAAAGTTTCCACATCCGGTGAAATTATTTTCAAAATATTCTTTTCTTTTCAAAAGAACATCAAAAGCGAAATATTATTTTTTTTACCTGACAGCAAACCAAAAATAAATCAAAATTTACTATTCCGAACAATGACTCAAACAGAGTAAAACAAACCAGACCCATTAACTGTGCTAATCCTCAACATTGATGACGTCAAAGAAAATTTAAAAAATTAATTCATTTCTTAATTCATTCAGAAAGTTTCGCGCCTACGGTTGGCGTTCAGAAATGTCTCACATTTGGCCCTCCTCCGGCCAAACTAACAAATATGAGAATTAATGAGAATTGACGTCAGAATCAAAATCAGAGACGGATAACCTGGAAAATATGTTTGGAAAAATATTTTGTTTCGCAGAACTTTTATTAAATTTTCTTAATAAATCTTTTTTTTTTATTTTTCTTTAACTAAAAAGTTTGGCTGAGTTTCCTCAACCTTACAATTACGCAGCGGCGTAGAATAATATTTTTCACGTGACGTCACAATATCTGTTTGTGCTATTAACATTGAACTTAGCAACACGTAATGCTTATTCCATCAAAAAAAAAAAAAAACCAAAAAACAAAATAAAAAATAAAAAATTAAGAGGCAAAGGTGTTTACTATAGTTTTTTTGTCTTAAAAAATTTATTTTTTATTTATAAAAAATCTCTTTTAATTTCTCATTATTTTTTCAATAATAAAAAATTGTTTTTTGTTTTTAGAAAATTTTAGATATTTTTTCTTAATTGATTTGTTTGTCTTAAAAGTGGAATTTTGGCATTAATTTAATATGAAAAATAAGAAATAATTCTTAAATTAGACTTTACGACTTATTTAAGTTATTTTATTTATTTATGCTACTTAATTTTAAATTATATTTTTAGTATTCACAAAATAATTTATTTTTAACAATTTGCTTAAGATTTGTTGTTCAACACAAAAATGTTGTTGTTTACGGCTGTTTTGCAGAAATTATTTATTAATCTTCGTCATAACTCAACGATCTTAAACAAATTTATGTTCAAGAAAATATGATTTTTATTTTTTATTTTATTAAAAACTTTAGTGTTTCACATATATTAATGAAATTTATCTTTTTTTTATTTCTTTTGCAGTTGTCATAAACCCATACACAAACACACACCCTTCCCAGGCATCTCCGAACTACTGCCCAGCCTATATCTCTGCGGTGCTGGTGTTGCCATGCCACAAATACTCGATCAACTCGAAGTACGTTTCATTATCAACGTAGCACCCGAATTGCCAGATACGCCACTGTCCAGCATCACAAAACCACTCTATTTGCGCATCAATGCATCAGACAGGCCTGATGTCGATCTGGCAGCACATTTCGATGAAGTTGCTGATATGATAGAGGAAGTACGGCAACTTGGCGGTAAATCTCTAGTGCACTGCGTTGCTGGCGTCAGTCGTTCGGCTTCATTGTGCATTGCTTACCTCATAAAACACGCCAGCATGTCCTTGCGAGAAGCCTATCTACACGTCAAGTCAATACGTCCACAAATACGTCCCAATACAGGCTTCTTTCAACAGTTGAGACAGTACGAAGAGCAGCTACATGGCAGGTGTACAGTACAAATGGTTTTCTACGAATCGCTGAACAAAGAGATCCCCGATGTTTACGAACCCGAATATAAGGCAATGGAAGAATTCTATCAACGACAACGTAAAGCCTTGAAGCGACGTTAGTGGAATAGAGAATGGATTGAAGTCTATTTTAATCTGCACCTGTTGTGGTTTTAAACTGTAAACTGTATTATATAGTCATAGTTAGTTGTAACGTAGTAGTGTTGATGTCCAGGATCTCGTTAAGAGTGCGTGATAATGTAGTTATTATGTTGATATTGATAAGTGTCTTAGCACATAGTGTGCACGTATGTCATAAAATTAAATTACGTAATCCTTATGTAATTGGTAACAGTATTTTTGCTGAATTTTATCATATTATTTTATGCTTAAGCACCCTACACCTAAGTACTCAAATAAAAATGATGTATTAATTTATTATTAAAATGAGTGGAATTATTTTTGTTAGAAATTGATTTGAATGATTTTCAAAGGGGGTGGGTGCGTTTAGCTATCGCACATTGCAATATCCGATAGGTCTACTGTGGTTCTATTAATATTATCAGCTCATATTTTTCTTAATAAAATGGTTCATTCCCTCAATTTCTTGAAGTTCATACGTTTGAAGCACATATTGTGGGACAAGAATAAAGGTGGATATTTGGACATTAATTCGTTTATGCTCTCTTTGGCTTCACAGGAGTATTGATATTCGAAAAACCATGCAGGAAGAAATTGCGGGTTGCAATGGCAAGAGCAGGAATCGATGTCTTATTTTAAAACGGTAGTTAATGAAACAAAAATTTTTTTGGTAAAAAGGAGTACGCAATTATAATATAATCAAACCACTTATATATCCGGTTCATTACTTTCTCAGTAGTTTGTAGTTGCGTAGTTCTGAATCATTATTTGATGTTAGATATTATGTTTGACTGGAGTATTCTTTAGATAGGGCAAAGACTGTGGTTGACAAAAACTGGAAGTCGGTGAGCGCTATTGGTGGTTCGAGCTCTGCATTCCTGCATAAAAATGTACGTTCAATATAAATTGTTAACAGTTTTAGAACATTTAATTTTCTTTTATTTAATTAAAAGTAACATATTAAAATGAAAAAGTTGGGAATGGTGCATCCATATTTGGGGATACTTATATTATTGTAATTATCTATAACCATTGAAATTTATCGTAACCCCAGCTATTTTCAAGATGATCAAAATGAAAATGCAGTAGTTGAGTGCATATCGTCTGTGTTTCAGATCATGTATTCATCGTAGTTTAATATTCATCAATTAATGTCACTCCACATATTCTCAAAATGACCAAAGATGAAACGGTTTGCATTTGTACCTTAAGTTGCGTATAGTGCAACATCCATCGACTGTGTTAAAGTGCTTCTTTACTGGATACATTTTACTGACCTGGCTTACAGTTTGCAAATATTAAAAAAAAAGTATATTTTTCATAGTTTTCTCCTAACAAGTGATCGTCAATGGTGTGATCATTCGCAAAGGATTTTATAAGAAATATTGGATTAGGATTAAAATTATTATACTAGAGTAGAAACTGATTATGTTGAATAATATAAGATATTTTATTTTTCGAACCTTACGCAAAAATAAAATGTTTATATGTTAAAACCAAAAAGTTTTGGATCCACTTTTCATTTACTTAGATTTAATTAAATATTTGAGATTATGTACAGTACGAATCGAAATGTTAAAGAAATATTTTTCATTTCATCTAAATTACTTTCACATTTTGTAGCATACCTTTAGGATATAGTAAATGTTGTTCGTTGTCCGTGAACTTCACCTTCACAAAATAAATATGCAAGATCAATGAAGCAAAACTATTTCATTAGTACAAAATGTGAGAGCACATATAGCTAAATATATATATATATATATTTAAATATAAATATTATTGATTAATGTGTTTGAATAAGTTAGAATAAGAATTAAAAATATGTTAATTAAATTATATGATAATATTATTAATTTTTTATTGTTTATAAAACCCAATCTTGGGAGATTTCCAAGTAAAACCATAACAAAAACAACTCTAAAGAAATCCATTAACTAATATGAATATATATTTAAGTTTTTTGTAAGATCTTATTGATATCAAGTTCGTTATTGACAAAACAATTAATATAAATAACTGCCCTCTAAGTATACATAGCTTTCTGTTTATGTTTGTTTAGGAATTATATTCACGCACTAAGACTTATTCTCAAATCTCAATATCATAAACAAAGTAAATTCATTCCTTAGAACTCAAACATATCTTCTATAAAGCACTGAATTTGTAACGAAAAACATATAGAAATTACAAGCATAGTGACGTTTTAATTAGAAGTGAGGTTGAAAAGCGGTTTATGGTATATCAAAATGGTAAATATCTACAGAGATCTTTGATTAAAATATTTTACGTAGCACCACAACTTTCCAACAAGATTGTTGTGGGTTGGTTGAAATGTCAGCAGAGCTTATTAGTCTGTATATTCTTCTGTCATTCATCATTTTGTTACCAAAATCCCGGTTATGTGAATCTCAGTTTTAAAATAAAACCATATGGTTGATAAAAGGGTACTAATTCAATCCAACTCATCCAATCAAGCCATCTAACTAAACAACGCAATTAATCAACCAACCTAACCACCCCACTAACCCATCTAATCAACTAACCAAATTATAAAATCAACGAACCAGCTACATTCTAACACTTCGTACAATAATGACTTTTTATATAACAGGACAGTACATCCGTACCATACTTTATTATTTAAGAAAATGATTCATCCTGCATAGTCTAGTAGCAAATTCTATTTGTTTGAAGCAAAGTAGCAGCTAGATTTTTGTTGTATAACAGGATGGAACATTAGTATCTGACATCGCAATTTGAGGCTATATATCACAATTTCGTAGTTAACCTTTTGCTTCCAAAAACAAAATTGTAAGAGTAGAGCCTTGTTTTAAAACACGGAACCCTCGTACTATATAACATAGACTATGATTTATACCTCACTGTTTCAGAGTTAGCTCTACCTATTCTCTTGAAGAAATGTAGTAGCATTAGAGTCTAATTGTACAACAAAATGGGCAGTGTCTATCTTGTATTATAATATAAGGCTATGAATTAACGTCTTTAGGTCTGTACTTATTTTATTCTACTGTAGCTTATTCAAACTCTCTAATAAGCTACAGTACTATCTACTGTACTAGATACAGTACTAGCTACTGATCTATTTTATTCTACTGTGGCTTATTAGTGAAGTTCCTCTGTTGTGCACATTTTCGTCTATCCCGAGTTAGAACCCAATTAATTATCTGTACTTAAGTATAAGACTGAGTACCCTTTGAACCAAAATTATGTTCAACTATTGCAGCATAGCTTATAATATTATAATTTTGAATGTTTCAATGTTTATAAATAGTTTCATTATATAAAGAAGTTCAATGTCGTGCTTTTAGTATGCAAAAAAAATAAAATAAAATAAAATAAAAAGCGAAAAAAGAATTCTACTTTCTTTATAAAACATTCGCTTTATGAATATTTTACTAATTTACCAATTTACATAAATTTAATGGAGAGGTTAAAAAACTTATTTCATACAATAATTTCCAAATAAACAAAATATAAACAAATAATTTATTTAAAACCCACGTTTAAATAATTTAACTCAATAATATTGACTATTTTAGCTGCAGACACTATAAGCTTTTGCCATCTTATACAATAGTCACAAATATTTATCTTTTCATTTATGATAAAGAGACGAGAAAGTAAAAAATTTAGCTAATATATCGACATTTTATTGCGTTCTTTCTAAATATTTTGGAATTTCATAACTTTTCTATTAAATAAATTAAGTAAAAGTTCATCAAACTCGTTAAAAATTCAGCAAGTATTATTATTAAGAAAAAACTAAAGAAAAGAAAAAGTTGACAGCATATAAACAAAATGAAACTGACAAAAAAAATTTATTTAAAAAAGTTCCTTTTATAATGATTTTTTTAATTAAAATTAATAAAAAAAAATTTTATTTACCAACAAAAAAAAAAAAGACATTAACATGATAGCATTTGATTAACATGTTCCAGAGGCTTATGATGTAACTTAAAGTCACTAAAAGTGAAAAATGCGAATTTGTTTATTAATTCAAAAAAAAAAAATAAAAAAAGAACAAATAAAATTAAATTTGTTTATAGTCAAATTTTTAATCTCACATTACCGGAGACGAACTCACTCTCGCTGAGGTGAAGCCGCCACTTCCAGATTCAATGAAATAAATCAATTTTCATTATGTTAATTTCAATAAGCACGCGGCACACAAAAAAGATAAATAAACAATCAGAAGAAGAAGAAAACAAAAAAAAAAAAACAAATAATACTCGTAATAAAAAATTAATTTTTAACTACTAATAAAAAGATACACACACAGTAATAGGTGGAGATACAGACACAGATACTCACAAGAGTCACATGTGAGTTTGACAGCAAAGTTACTCATAGGCCTTTTACAGTCCAGTCCGCATAGTAATAAATCACTCTTACTATTTTTTTGAGGATCAATGTCCAGCTAACGTATGCGAAACTGAATTATGGAAGCACCAGGCATGGTTAATGAGTTGTGGGCTTCGAGCAATTAAAATGTTGCTATGGGTGAGTTTGGAAATTTGAGTCTAAACACGTACAACCACGTACGTCCACTTGTACTTAAAAGTTAAAAAGTTTTAATGCGAAATTTTATAAAAAAATTTTAAACTTTTATAGCTGAAATTAGTGAATAATAAAATACTTAAAATCTTAAATAGGTTTAGATTTTCGGCTACTGGAGAAGGTGACGTTACCATAAAAGCTTTAATAAGAGTATTAAGTATATTTAAAAAAGCTCATTTTGTGAAGTTACATCATATTCAATAGATGAGTCATGTCTGCAGAGTACAGAGTACGGAATGCCGAAAAGGATATTAAGGGTCTGCATAGAAATGACTTAGGATCGATCGAGAACTCGTGAATTGACAACGCGAAGAATGACTTGAAGGTCTGCATGATTAGAGAAGTTAGTTAGAGTCGATCGAAAATATAGGCGTACATAAACACTGCCGGCGATAGTTGACTTTGTTGCCTAACGGTAGATAAAGATTGATACTAATGTTCACACAGATCGGTAGTTTTGAAAATCAGTATTAAGAGCTTTTAATCTTAAACATATAAATTCATTTTTTTAACAAAAGTGGATTTTTTTTGAAATCTACACTTTTTATATTATTTTTCCACTGCAGCTAAATCAATTTATATTAATCAAATTAAGATTTGAGCGTTTCCATTGAAATAAGTTGATTTATGCATGTCAAATAGCTTCCATGTGTTAGAAAGTTCTGTGAAAGCTTTAGGAGAGCTTTAGTCTCACTTA